TGTGTGTGTGTGTGTGTGTGTGTGTGTGTGTGTGCATATGTGCATGTGATTTTTCCAGACTAATTGGAGCCGCTCGCAGAGAGGAAATCCACTCCAAACCTCCTGCCATGACTCTCTCTGGTCCAAATATCAAAGTTAACAAGCAAAACACACGCACACTTGCAGATACAAATCTGATTCTAAACCTGATTTGACCCCAGTGAACATACAAAGCATTAAATAAGCTACTTTATCTGACAAAAAGGTCATTAAATTGAAATAGTTTTCTTTATGAAAGTCTGGGCCCTTGAGGCTGATGTTGGGATTAAAGAGATGCTGCAGGCTAATTATCATCTCAAGTGTAGGTGTAGCGTTGGTGTATGATCTACGCCTGCTTAGGAGCTCTGTAATTCAACTTAACATCTGTGTAAGGTGCTGCCAACTCTCATGATGACTGTAATTAACCTCCTGCTTTCAACCAGTCTCCTCCTCTGGAGCACTGAAGTCAGGTGGCGGCTCCAGACCTTTTCTGCACAAGTGATAGTTACAGAAAACTGAGAACTTGGTTATGTGAGACAGTGATTTTACCTCGGGTCAGACAATAAAGACAGAAAGGTGGAGCTGTGGTACTTATTGAAGAATATAACCGTTCTTCCCTGCAGATGACATTTTCAGACATATTTTCTCCGAAACCACTTTGATTTGAGTAACTGTCACTACATCTACTGAGTCCAGAAATCTCTTTCTGTCTGTGGAACACATATCTCCAGAACTGTTCCTTTTATCATCTTCACACTTGGTATTTGTTTTGTTAGGGGCCAAAGGAAGTCAAATTTGGTACAATTTAGACACACAATACATTTAATATTAATAAACTTTGAATGAAAAGACGACCAGGACTTTGCCTCCAGCACATGTCTTCTTCTACGTCCTCAGATAACCTACGGGAACAGGTGTTTTCACTTCCTGTGATGAGTAACGAGGGGATTGGATAACCATCAGGAACACTTCCTCGCCATTCAAAGTCAAACTGTGTAAGCATGCCATCCCACATAGGAAATTTGTTTTGGCCAAGAATTGCCCTCCATCTCACACATCCCACATCCAGCCCACATGCTGCTTGCAATGATGGCACTTAGGCAGTCCAGATCTGGGCCACAAGTAAGCCTTAACAATACCACATGTCAACCAAAGGTGCCAAAGGTGGACAGAATTTGTTTAGTGCTATTTGGGCCACAGTCACCATTTACCACATGGGCAAGTTTGGGCTCATTTCTATTTTGTTCAAGCCATAAGAAGGGCAGAAGTGTTGCATTACTGCCTGAAGTGGCCCACTATCTGGGATACTAACTTATTGTACCGGCATATTACAGAAATCTCTGTCTGTCTGTACGTGGCGTGCATATCTCAAGAACTTTTCCTCTTATTGGCTTTACTCTTGGCATGTGCATTGTTAGGGGCCCATGAAAGTGCATGGCAGAATTTGGTGTGTTTCAGACATGGTAGGTGTTAAACATTGATAAACTTTGAATAAACAGGCAAACAGAGCTGAGTGGCAGCTGGAACTCAAGACAAGGCAGACAAAGTGAAGGCAACAGAGCTTTCACAACAACGAGCCTGTTAATGACAATAGCAACAACAACTGATTCTCCAGTTCAGGGTACTGCTTACTGAGTCGAGCTCTACTGAACTTCCAATAAGCAGGTGAACAGCTCTTTGTGTCTGAGCAGCAGTCGGTCTTGTCGAGGCTAAATTACCTCTGCTCATCGTAACGGTTTGAAAAAGTCAGAAAGCTGCAACCAGCATCACCACGGACCAAGCAAACAGGCAGGTTCAGAATCGACACCAGTTGTTACCAAGTGTGGCTGCATCTCAAAGAGTCATGACTTTCAGCATGTTCAATACATCAATCGTCATCTCAGTAAAGATTCTTCATTTGCAGACATTTTCCCTCTGATTGATTTCTGACTGCTCTTTCACCAGAAACCTGAGATGAAACAATCTAATCACTTATGACACATGTTGATCTATACTGGTAGTAACGTCCAACACATCAGTTTCAGCAGGTTCACAAGGACTTTTATTTGTATAGCTCAGTGCATCATCCTCAGGGCAGAGGCGGTGCATGTCCAGTATTAATCAAAGTGATGGGTAGGCATGCTTTGTTTAGTGAAGTTTAATCAATGCATGAGCTATGGAGATGCAGAGTTTGTATGTGTGTCCGATCAATAAGCCTGTGATAAACACAGGTTATCTCTCAGCAGACGTTGGTTCAGACTGATAACAACAGATGAGACAGGAATAATATGACATGTGGGTAAATGAGTGACTGACAGGTAGAAAAAACATATCAGATACATGTATGTCCTCAGGCAACTCTCCTGCAGACACACTGTACATGCATCCAATCACCAGTTTTACATTAACTCATATAACATTAACTGGTCATTTAACCGATTACACTTATATACACTTATGCAAGGATATCAAGTTTCTACCAAAGGTCCTCCTAACTGTAGAGAGTCTGGGTCAGAGTCTCTGGTGGTCCATATGCTAAAAATGGAGTGAATGTCGACCACTCAAATTAGCCTCTATCAATAACAAGCCTGTTACCTTTCCTCAATCGATACACTGTCTGAGCATGTGGAGGTGTGTGTGCACACAGAGCAACATTTCATCTAATAGTAAAATGCAACCTCAGTCTGAAAGCTGCCTCCTAGGCTATGTCAACAAACCACAAGACACACACACACACACACACACACACACACAAATGCACACACGCACGCATCACTCAAACTTTGGCAAGCATGCGTATTTATGAATAAAGACTACCTTGTTACTTAAGCAGAGTGAGTAGAATAATGAATAGAACATGGATTTTAAACATACACTCTCTCTCACAAACACACACACACATATTCAGGCAAACACATGTATTCCCGCCAGACATGAGACACCAAATACACACTGGGCAACATGGAATAATCTGCTGATATATCGCTTACTGTCTCTCTCACTCTCTCTCTCTCTCTCTCTCTCTCTCACACACACACACACACACACACACACATATACACACACACACATACAATACAATAGAAAAAAAGTATGTTTGAGACGGACCAGGGGAAAGAAAAGCAGAGATGGGAGCAGAAATGAAATGCAGTTGATTATTTATGAATGCGTGTATTCAGTATTTCACTGTATGTTCTGCTTACCTGAATGGTTGTACTGTATTTTCTACAAGCTGTTGAAATAGTGTATTTTGACACAACAAGACTTTGAATTAGTTAAGTCTTGCTTAGAGTGGGAGTCGTAATGGAGTAATAACAACAGTACAACTTCCATTGCTTGTTTGGTGTTTAGCCTTTTTTTAGTGGAAACATGACCGTTTAAACCATAGAGAGCATAAAGATGGATGACGTGACCCCTTTTACTGCGAAATCCAGAATAAACGTTGAGTTGTATCCTACATCTGCAACTATTTTCAATATTAAATGTTCTTCTTTGTTGTCATCAAAATCTCATCACACCTATTTGCTACATGCAGTTTGCAACCAGTCTCATGTTACTGACTGTACCAAATCACAAACATGTTTGAGAAAGTTAAAATAAAACACTGAAGAAACTGGGAAGCAATCACACATAAGTCCTGTTCTTCTTGTTTTATAAGAATGGGAAAAGTCAGGCATTTGCCAAAAAGTCAGTGCAAAAGGAAAATTTAATCTCTGTTGGCTTGGTACGACCCCTCTGTATCGCCATGTTGCACACACACACACACACA